ATGAAACTTAATATTACATATCAGACGGATAATTTCCTGATGGATTTGATATTTGAAATCGATTTGTATCAAGCACCCCTCATTGATGTTTTTATGGTTATCGCCAAGAAAAGGTTCATCTGCATCAATGTGAAGGTCAAAATTCGATTGGTCGATGAATCTTTTCTTAAACGAATATTTTGAAAGGGTATGTTATTGAGATAAAGGATTTTGAAGTATGAATTTTGTAATTGAAATAAAGAATATTTCAATCAGGAAAGGAGGAAGAACTTACAGTCCAAACTACACCACATAAACAATTTAATAATGACCAATGGTCATGGACAGAAAGGCATGATCGAAGGATCAATCCTTCATCATCAGCAACAAAAAAAAATGTCCTTTTATCCATGACCGTTGGTCATTATCGAATTGTTTATGTGGTGGAGTTGTGACTGTGAGTTCTTCCACCCTTCCTGATTTATGTCACCTCCACAGTATGAAACGTTTGACCTATACATGTAAAAATGTCTAATGGAAAATAAACGTATTGTATTGTATTGTATTGTATATGGACCGAAACAGCGGAACACAATGAAATGCTCTGCTCACGCATGTAATGTTCAAGTCCGCAAAAAAAGTTGTTGTACGATGGCTGAAGGCTGAATCGCCTGAATCAGGTCTACCTGACGCCTGCTGAGGTAAAACATTTAACCAAAAATCCTAGGTTCCATCAGGAGTCCAGGGTTAGAAAAGACAATAGGATGAAGGTAATCACTACAATCTACAATCAAATCGTCGCTACATCGTCGTTTGGCGGAGGGCATCTGGAGGATCCGGTTCTGGAGATGGTGTTGTTGCAGGTGGATTAGATCGTGTTCCCCAGGTTACTTTCATCCTCTATCTGGTGGTATATGTGAGAGAAACTGATTTTCTTAAGTCAGCTAACGAATAACAAGAGGCAGGTGTGAAAAATTTGAATATACTCAAGTACTGTGACCAATCGAAAATCGAACACTCTGACAAAAGCAATAATTCGCATATCCAGGACTCTTCTACATCATTGCAATGTAGTTTGTTTATCCTAGAAATGTGTAGGATATAGATTATCTACAAGAACCAACAAGCAACACTATTTTTTGCAAAATATGCAAATTTGGGCTATTCTCTACTCCCACTAGCTCCCAACCCGTTAGTCCTATATTGATCAGCAAGAACAATTATACAGGGTGGACCATTTTGATCTATTATGGATAATAGTTCTTTCCGGATGCCGCTAACAAAAAAAATGGTTTTAACAAAAGTTGAAGGATTCAATGGGGGCCGAAGAATGACCCTACTCACAACCCCTCCTCCAGGGCCCCCATACGGCCCTGGGAGATGAAATGTTTTTTTTCCAATGGAAACCCTTTTTTTTCACAATGGATTCTTGTTCTACAGAGGAAAACAAATTGAAAATGTCCCTAGCAAATTCTTTCTAGGGCCCCTTGAAGGACCCCAAATTTTCAATTTTGTTATTTGAATTGCAATATCTTTTAGGCTCAGGTCAAACCTGTGTTTTGAATATGATAACATAAGTGCAGTTCCAGCATATCACCGTGTTTTCAAGCAAACCCTTCATCTGGTTAACGAATTACATGCCAATGAAGATTCTTTGTTTTCTTCAACTCAAATACCAAAATTTAAAATTTGGAGCCGTTTAAGGGGCCCAAAAAAGAATTTGCTAGGGACATTTTTTATTTGTTTTTCTCTGTAGAACAAGAATCCGTTGTGAAAAAATAGGGTTTCCATTAACAAAAAACATTTCATCTCCCAGGGCCGTATGGGGGCCCTGGGGGAGGGGTTGTGGGTAGGGTCATTCTTTGGCCCCCATTGAACTTTCAACTTTTGTTTGAACCATTTTTTTGTTAGCGGCTTCCGGGAAGAACTATTATCCATAATGGATTAAAATGGTCCACCCTGAATATGGAATATATCATTTATTCAAAATTTTCATGGTCTGGTATTTTTGCAATAATGAATAGTTTCCGAGTTACGGGCAAAAAAGTGATAACGGAACGCTCCACGAAATTTTGTTTGCAAACTTCAGATTCAGATTCAGCACTCCCAAAAACAATGAAACAGCAGAGATATCGATTACTTGAGTTTCTTCCACGTGCAATTATCATTTCATTGTACCATTTGTACTGAGGGTCAAAAGGCATTTGGAAAAAAAATGAATGTAATCAGTATCTGTTTATACGAATCGTTGCATAGATTTGAAAGGAAAGTTATTCAATGTTCTGTGTGGCATTATTCAGAAGAGTAGTTGTTTTTCTCCCATTATCCTTGTAGAAATCTGTGAGCACATCGCAGGAATTGATCAAATTGGCAAAATAACTTTTTGGACACATCGCTGAGAGTGATCGTAACGCCGCAACAGCTCTTTGGAGGCTGAAAAGTTGCCAAATTGCCAAAAAATCTCATCAGACATATATTGTTATGAGTGGTTATATCGCCGGAGGAAGCGTATACAGGGTACCGCTGGTTTGATAGGGACAGGATTCCAATATGCCCTAAACGGAAAGAGATTAGAGAAATGATGAATAGAAATCCTATAAACAGGGTGTTTCCGAAATTAGGGCGTTCGATGAAACGGATGAAAAAAAAAACGAAATGAAATAATACATGTTTGTGGAAAAAATAATATTTTATCATCAAGAGTTGCCTGAAATTCTTGAAAATCATTGATCAGAGGTAAATAGCCCAACCCAAGCGTTTGCTTTCGGCGAGATCACAAGCACCGGTAGTATTAATGGCTGGAAAGATGTGGATATGATAGGAGTGCACATTTTATATGAGAATTTCGAAACATTTCTTTCCTGGGATTTATCGCTTCAATATGGATTATAGAACACCCCATTTCATTCATCGCCCCAATTCCAGAAACACCCTGTATGGATATGGTGGTATAATGTCCGATATGACCACTATCGCCAATTTGTCCGAAGGCGTTTTTAGGCATAATGACTACTATTGTCGAAGTGTCCACTGTTTTTTGTCATAGCTAGGGATGCGCAATATCGGATTACACATAATAATCGATTATCAAGGAGGCAAATCATGTTTTCCATTTTGAAGTTATATATCCCTTCTCGATATATTATGAAATCATATATCGATATTAGATATATCGATATATCGATACACTAATCGATATATAGATTTTTTTCCAGGCTCGGAACTCATATATTCATCTAGTATTTACTCAATACCAAAGGTAATGGAAACTTCTAGCTAACTATGACTACCAACTGAAATATTTTCACGCCTAAACGGAGAAGAGATGAAAAATCTATCGAAAATTATTTTCATCAATATATTGAGAAGAAAATCGAAAGTCGATCGATATTTTTCGCAGGTCTAAAGTACCTTTTGTATGTTTACTTACGCAGCTTCTTCGACGACGGTGGCCAAATTGAGAAAAAATCGAAAGTACAAAGATAGGCAGTTATATAGAAATAGAAATGAAAAGAACTTTGTGTAAACTTAGTTTTATCTATTTTGAATCATGACTTGACATTATACTTTTCCTGTCTACATCAAGTAACTGAACAGATATAACAGAAGATTCAAAATTACTGTTGTAGATTCGTTTTTGATCTTCGCAAATATAATAGAGTGTCGACAAAAATAAGAAAAGCTAGGTTAGTTAAGAATTGATAATTCATTCAAATACCATATGAGTGCCATGGTTTTCCGAATTTTGTCAACTTCTACGCCACCATATCTGAAAGATAAGTTGGTATTCAGAGCTAACATGCACGACCGAAATATTTGAAATGCATTTACTTTATCGCTGCCTAGATTTCGTCTGTCTGGATTTCACAGAAGATTTTCATTTAATCCTGCTAATGTATATAACTCATTGCCTAATGGTTACAAAACACGATGATTGAGCTACTTGAAACATCATTACAAGCATGAATTAGTAGGAGAACAGGTTATAAGTATGCAGTATGGTCATTAGCTCATCTGGATTGGTTGTTATATGTTATATGAATTTATCTATTTCTTATGGCTTCAGGGGATTGGATGGGGGGCATGCATGTATATATATTTAAATATATAGGTTTATTGGGGGAATGCAGCAAAGTGAAAAGAGTACTCTTCAAAGTTTGTCCAAGCTTTCGAAATCTCATATTTCCATCATCAGGGTTACAACAACAATTTTCCATTAGGTCACATTAATTATAGCATGGGAAAATGTTACTTACATCTTTGTTGAGGTTGGTTCACATTAATGTTAAAATGATAAAATTGTATAAGACGATGATGACATAGTTGAGAAGACGAACAAAAAACAGGATCAATCACAATTGTGTGAAATAAGTTAATTTGTGAAATGTTAAAAATGTGAAAAAATAAGAGGAATCAAGCGGCAAGTACTGGTGATGAAGTAGGTTAAGTTTGATCTTTGATCTTTCAATCATTACTTCATGATGAATATTTGTGGAAAATTGATAGATAGGTAAGGGGCCATAGCCACAATGTGAATTTGCTATATTCAGTCAAACAACAAGAAAACTGCAAGAGTAAGATGGTTTTGTTTGCTATTCTGATATTAGGTAAGTTTTCGAAGATTCTAGCTAGTTTGGGTGTGATTTCTTTTATATAAGGTTGGGAGACATGAATACAATTACTTGGAGGGGCATCAGCCACCACGACACTATTTTGTAACAATTCATTGTCAGTATGTACAATTTCTGATGCAGAGGTATTGAATAACATTTTTTGACCAGGGAACTGGGATATGCATTTTGTATAAAAAGTTCTTGCAGGATTTTAAAATTTTTTTGATATTAAATTTGGACAACAAATATTTCATCAAGGACTCATTTGGAGCTGCACACCAATTTAATGAAATAACATAACTAGTAAATTATGTGTTAGCTAGTTTGGATGTGGTTTCCCTATTCAGCAACGTATATTGTTATTATTATATTTTCCTCAGGCCTAGTCAAAGTAGTATATATACTTACGCAGCTTCTTCGACGACGGTGGCCAAAATGAAATCGGCAGTCTTGTCGTTGGATATGACGTGGCACTCCGTGACGTCGACAGCGACGTCCTCTTCCTCGTCGCCGCTGCCCGAGCCCGTGTTGGTCGCCTGCTCGTCCAGGCCCGGACTCGGACCGAGGTGGGTCTCGGCCGTCAGGCGGTGCACATTCGAGATGTTCTCTATCACAGACCCTGGCTTGATCTCGCTGGGTTGAGGTTTCTTGTTGAGCCGCAATTGCATCGCTCTGGCTCTCAGAGCCTGCAATAACAAAAATAATCTCATAACGTTAGACCATAGAGCTTCACTTATATGAACGCAAAAACACGTCAACATCGTGGAGGATAATAGTAGAATGTTTCATTAGGATCAAAAGTGACACTTCGCTAGACGCTCCGCCTCGCAAAAGCAAAATTTGCGAGTCGAACAAAGTCACTTTTGATCCGAATGAAACATTCTATTTTTTCTGCAACCGAAAAAATTAAGTCAAATGGATATGTGAAGTAACCACCAATGCCGTGCCATAATGTATGCAATGCAACAAATATTGACAAATAATCGGTGTGGTGAGAATATTCTACCTGCATTTACACCAGGTTCATTCAATTTTCAAGGATGCTCGAATTGTAGTTTCAATATAAATACAACCACAGAGTGAAATATTTGTGTATGGACCAGGTGCTCTACTGGCAAATACCGCGCCAGTGCCAGCTATAGGAACATACGTGGAAAATGTTAGGTTAGTGAGCATATCAACAATAATAATAGCGATAATAATTTATTCCTTTCCATACTGCAACACTGTGTTTGACTTGCTAATCAAATGTGTAGGTAAACAATATCATTGTTTGAGACAAAAAAACTATTAAGTACTTGCCGTGATTATTCAAAAACAAGTTATCTATCCCAAGAATAACGAATGAAATACAGATCAAGGAAGTAAAGTTCAACTTTAGCTCCTGGGAACTAAATATGTTGCCTAGCAACATACCTATTTTTGTGTCAGTAATAGAAACGTCAATTTAAGAGCTTATTTTGGTATCAAAATGGATGACTTTTGTGTCGGTTGCAGAAAAAACATATTTGCAAATTACATTAACGTGGAAGGCCGATAGGCGATGCGCGTATCACAGACTCTTGCTTGATCTCGCTAGACTGACGTTTCTTGTTGTGCCTCTGTTGTATCGATCTGGCTCTCAGAGCCTGCCACGACGAAAATGATCTGTTACTTCAGATCATATAGCATCTAGCATATGGGCTGCTAACAGTAAACGCAGGAATATGACAACATTGTACAGGAAGAAACATATTTTCACCCTCACTAGGGCGGCTGGCCGTCAGGCAATGCACGTTTGAGATGTTTCCTATCACAGACTCTGACTTGATTTCACTAGGCTAATGTTTCATTTTGAGCCCCTGTTGCATCGCTCTGGCTCTTATATTTCAATAAGGCCGAAGGCCGAAAGGCGATGCGCGTATCACAGATCCTTGCTTGATCTCGCTAGGCTGACGTTTCTTGTCTGTTACCTCAGATCATATATAGAATGTAGCTTATAGTAAACACAGGAATATGTCAACATTGTACAGGATATAGTTATTTGTTTAACTAGGCAGCAAAGTAGTATAGATTGACTGCCGAGGCTGAATTCATAGCCGAGCATAGCGAGGCTAGGAATCCAGCTAAGGCAGTCAATCTACTTTGCTGCCGAGTTGAACATATAATTTTTTCTCCGATTGTTCATAATGATGTATTATATCTCTCTGTTTTTCCTGTAGGTGGCAAAAATATAGAGTTGAATTTGTTGCCGGAGAAGTCTCGGATGAAATATATGAAGGAAATCATAAACAATTTATGGATTATTAATTTTGCTGATACATATCAATCAGCAAAGTAACCACTTTGCTGCCTAGGCAGCAAAGTACCCACTTTGCTGCCTAGGCAGGAGGAGTAATACTTTGCTGATTGATATGTGTCAGCAAAATTAATATTTGCTGCCAATCGGAGAATAAAACATTTTCTAACCCTTACTAGGGCGGCAGGCCGTCAGGCAATGCACGTTTGATATGTTCTTTATCACAGACTCTGACTTGATCTCGCTAGGATGAAGTTTCTTTTTGAGTAGCAGTTGCATCGCTTTGGCTCTTAGAGCCTGCAATAACAAAAATAATCTCATAACGTTAGACCATACAAGATCTCGTTTCGATTTCATGAACGGCAAGTAGTGAAAGCAAAAAAACCCCAACATTGTGGGGGATAAAACATATTCGCATATATTTTACTAAGGCGGAGGGCCGACAGACGATGCGCGTATCACTGACCCTTACTTGATCTCGCTAGGCTGACCTATCACAGACTCTGACTTGATTTCGCTAGGCTAAGGTTTCTTTTCGAGCTTCTGTTGCTTCGCTCTGGCTCTCAGAGCCTGCGCGGACAAAAATCATCTGTTAACTCACACATTATAGGATCAGCTCTAGGAATATGGACTACTGATAGTGAACGCAGAAATACGTAAACATTGAACAGTATGAAAAATATTCTGGTCCTTTCTGTGTAGCTTCAGGCGATGCGTGTTTGACCCTATCACAGACTCTACCTTGATCTTGTTAGGCTTAGGTTTCTTGTTGAGTCTCCATTGCATCGCTCTGGCTCTCAGAGCCTGCAAAGACAAAAATAATCTGTTGCCTCAGACCAATACAGGACTCAGAAATACTCCTAAAGTTTGAAGTATGAAACCTATATCCTCATCCTCAACAAAGGCGTGAAGACCTCAGGTGATGCGTGTTCGAGATGTTCTCTATCACAGACTCTGACCTGATCTTGCTAAGCTGAGGTTTCTTTTTGAGCCAAAAATCATCTGTTCACTCACACCATGCAGGATCTAGATCTGCGCATATGGACTGCTGATAGTGAAAGCAGAAATACGTCAATATTAAACAGGATGAAACATGTTCTCATTCTTAGTAAGGCGTAGGCCATCAGGCGATGCGTGTTTGAAATGTTCTCTATCACAGACTCTACCTTGATCTTGCTAGGCTGAGGTTCCTTGTTGAGCCTCCGTTGCATCGCTCTGGCTCCCAGAGCCTGCAAAGACAGAAATAATCTGTTATCTCAGACCATTCAGGACTCAGAAATACTTTAAAATTGTGAAGTATGAACAATATTCTCATCTGCAACAAAGGCGTCAAGCCGTCAGGCGATGAGCGTTCGAGATGTTCTCTATCACAGACTCTCACCTGATCTTGCTAGGCTGAGGTTTCTTGTTGGGCCTCAGTTGCATTGCTCTTCGAGCCTTTGAAGTCGAAAATAATCTGTTCAACTGCCACGAGGAATCTAACGCAAGAAGAATACTAAATGTGGCGACTGCTATCAATTATAATGTAAAAATGTTCTCAAATGTAAGTTAACAATAACAATGACTAATTTATCGTTCACATCAACTCCTTATATTGCGACACATGCCTACTCAGTGAATTGAAATAGCAAACATATTGAAATATGCCATTGAATAACTAATACCTGAGCTAACACCCTACATGAGGTATTGCGTCAAAATCTTGAATATGGGAGTTCCGCCAGCTATGTCGAATTGGCTATCCACTTTGTCGAAAGAAACCCCAACAACAGTTTTTGGGATTTTGTCCCTTCAACTTACAATAGTAGGCCTTGAGAATCTGAATATATTAAATTCCTCCCCTTTTTCGCTCTCTGTGTACATCATGTGGTATTTTTGTGTTGCCAGTTGAAATCGCACACACTGTATATAATATTTAACGATGAGAAGAAAAAAAAAAACAAATTCATCTAAGAGGAGATAACATCTAGGCGACTCTGAATAATCCTTATGATTGAACTCGTTATATTTCGTTTAGGATATACAGATTACAGGGTGCTACAAACAATGGTCCTAAAAAGCTTGATTTTCGGGATACAGGGCGTTATAGTTGGGAAACAGAATGTTTCTGCGATTATTACTAGTAAAACTTGCGTTCTGGTATGAAATACGAAAATTTTTAGTTCCATATATTGGAGAAATATCTTTCTGTTTAGGACACGGCCTGTTTAGATAACTGGATAATAATAATAGATATTATTCTGGCATGGTCATACTATTTCAATCACACAACAGAAGTTTGCTGTAAGGAGTGTTTATGAAAATAAATTCACGTTCATCTTCAATTCCAACGCCCTGTATTTCGAAAACGAAGATCCTTACTACCCATGTTCAATCGAACTATTGTTCATCAAATGAGGTCTTATAACGATCTACTAAGTTCTGCTATACTATGAAGAGAACCACCGTGTTCAGAGTGATTCATCGAAATGCGACGAGAAATCAAACTTTTATATTTTTTACTGGTTCGATCTAGTGATGCCGTCGGGACGAGACAAAACGGGACGCGAGATAGTCCTTCTTTCGTCTCGTCTCGTATGAACGAGATAATGTTTTTCTCTGGTCTCGTCAGAGAGCCGTTTTTCTCGTCTCATCTCGTCTCGACTTCTCTCGTCTGCTCTCATCTGGTTATAATTGAAAATTATCTAACTTTCAAAATTGTCACATGCAGTACAAATAACTTATCTGTGGATATGTCACATTTTATATTAAATGAAAATACAGCGGTCTAGTGACGAACTTCAGAGCTTTCTCAAAGACTTTGAGCCAACAACTTTCTGCTTGTATCCACCCATATACCTACAAAGATTCATACATTTTGCAAACTTGATTTGGTTTATTGCCTTCAACTACTTCAGGATCTTCCATATACAGAGTGTCTCACTCCAAACGGCTGTTTTGTTTTGTGATGTTTCAAGTCAAGCTACGTTGAGTTCACTTATGTCATTTCTGATGTAGCAATAGCGAAATCATTTCGATGATCGCAAAATCTGATTTCCTCTTGTAAACCAACCAAATTAGAAATTTTTCATTCGAGATGTCCCAAAACCGAGCCCGAAATTATTATTCATCAATAATTCGATTTCAAATATGGTATTCAGTTGAGCAAATGTCTGAAACATACCGTAGATCCAAATTCGAATGGAATTTATGGAGTGCATAATATTGTTAATCCGATAATGGCAGCCATTGTTGCACAAACCTTCGGTTTCTTCGGAGCTGCTATCAACTTCTTCATTTCAAACAATACAACCTGTATTGAAGAGAAAAAAATGGTTCCTCTGATGTAGTTCATATACATGGTGAGTCGTTGATATGGGAAAGCTCGATGCCACCTACACCGTTGATGATACCGAACTGAACCAGGAGGCACTGCTAACGAGGACTCAAAGTGCAGTTCGTACATACAGCAATTTGAATTTGTTCTGCCTGTTAGGCTTCATGAACTCGTTTAGTTTTTGCAATTCGTTTGAACAATTCAGATGTTACTTTTTTCTCATAATTAATGCGTTTGCTGGCACTATTTTGAAAAATCGCTTGGTACCTGATTCTATAGGAATATCAAGTTGGCACTCTGCCAATAACTGACCTTTTTGTGACACAATGATCTTGGTGAACTTTGATTCGCCATAACTTGATTTTTTATTACCCCATATATTTCATTACGCACATCTTTTTCTTCATTGATGATTTTTTTCAAAAATTCTTCGTACGAAAAATAATTCACATTTTATATTTTGAAGTTTCACAAGACAAGAAATCATTATCACATTTCCATGCCATCACAAATCTATTGTCACGATTAGCTTCTGCATGAAAGCATTCGACTATTATCAACTAAAATTAATAAATAATATCATCATTTTCTCTCGATTCTCCAGACCAGACATCAGTCAGTCAAAATTCTGCTGATAGAATTCTCTCATGAAAAAAAAAAACAAATCGAATAACTATTCTTTATTTCCTGATCTATATGACTGTACTCATTGACTCATCTTCGATAACGGATTCTGATGCGGAGATGCTGATAAATAACAGTTCATCGCATGGCATATAGCACGTGAAGTGATTATATTATCAAAGTTCCTATACAGAAAATATATAAGGGTTAGGAAGCTCAGTACTAGTTCCTTCCAGTGTGTTATGTATACACGTCTGGCAGGAATAATTTTCCTATAGAGTAACGATGCATGTGTGTCGTTGCCCCACCTACTCGAGAATGGCACGGGTGGTAAACGATAATCATTTCGGTCGGACGTCGTCTAGCCGTAAAATTGACGTGCTCGAAGGAGGTGTTACCGTGATAAGCGATAAGTGATTCATCGCACGGTTTCTCTATGAGAAAATTATTCTTGCCACACGTGTATATACTCAAAGTCAATTTCTGTTGTTACATGAAAATAGTTCATAACTGTTGCCCAAAGATCGAGTGAGCTCTAGATTAATCAAACTTTCCATAGACAATGACTGATTGAGACTTTTTTGCGAATTGCTTCGAGTCTCGTTTATGGTAAGAGGTATGACATTTTACAGACATACGACTAATCTTCATTATCCATCATTATTCATTTTAATAGATTTATGAGACGGACCGACGAACTTGGATGGAATTGACTTTTTTTGAGCCCTATACCATATTTCACATTTTTATTCACATTGTCAGCTCAAAATACTCGCTAGATCTAGAACATAATATAATGAAATATGAACACCAGAGAATAATGAAGGAATAAGATTCATTTACTGGTGGAATTATTTCAAAGAATAAAATGGTATACTGGATGACTGACTATCTTGGTTCATGGAATCAGATAATGATATTTACTTCGAATACCTCCCAGGTAGAACATCAAATTGGTTAGAACTTGGGCTCACATTAGCCCAATATTTGAATATTGAATATGGAAATACTAGATTCTCCCAATATCTAACTAATTGTTCATTTTAATATTCGATCATCAATCCAGTGCCAATGTTGTGGTAACATTAACATTTTTTGACCAGCCGATATCAATTTGCCAATATTTATTTGATATTGGTGAAATATTAACGATTACAAAATGTCGATGTTCATGATGGGATGATATTGTATTGTAACATCGAATCAATCTTGGAAAAAAATATTGCATCAATGTTAGATTTATGATGGTTAGTGAATATTGCATTTTATTGTGCAGCAATATCGAACTGATATTGGCTCTTCAATAATATCCAATATCCAGTGCCAATGTTGAAATAACATCGAAATTTTGTGACCAGCCGATATCAATTTGCAAATTCTCTTTTGATATTGGCGAAATATTGAAGAAAAAAATATGTCAATTTTCATGATGGGCTGATATTGTATTTCCAATATCGAATCAATCTTCGAAAAAAATATTGCATCAATATCAGATTTATGATGGTTAGTGGATATTGCATTCCATTGTCCAGCAATATTGCACTGATATTGGCTTTTTAATATCAATTCGATATAATGAAAATGATATCACATCTATGCCATTTTCGAATTGATTTCAATATCGAATTGATATTATTGAAATAATATGATTATGATGATGATGATAATTGAATATTGCATGATATTTGCTACGTATTTTATTTTCATATCTGTATTTTTTATCAAGCCAATATTAGTTCATCAATATAAGTCCCATTTCACACCCATGTCAGAACCAATATTGCACTGATATCGGTTTTTTAATATCAAATCGATAATAGTAATATTTATTTCGTTATTTGAGCGACGTTATAACAGGTGGTGCCACTAGCACGTCTCCAACAAACAAACGACTGCTCAGAGGGACCAGTACTGCAGCAATCGTTTTATTTATTGGTATTCTGGGATACAGAGAATGATGTATTATTGTATCAATATCACAATTTTTTTCATGAGTCTATATGGCTTCGAATTTCGAATTTGAATATTTTGTAACGAAATAGATAGAATATTATAATTATTCAACATAAAGATAATATTGCAAGATGATCACATCCTATTTTTGGTCAATATAGTAGGCAAATATAAATTCAATATCGAATTTACATATGGGAAATATAAGAAACCGGTTTCAATAAAATGGCATAATATCTTTGTCCAATCTTGTAACCGAATATAAACTCGATATTGGATAGAGCATATCGAAACAAGATTTGAATTTAACATAGCAACAAAATTCCAGAATGTTCACATCGATTTATTGGTCTTATATTTAAAATCAATATGTTCCCAACATTCACTCTTTATTGGTTCAATATTCAACCGATATTAGTGTTCTACCTGGGCTACTGTTTATGATGAATTATAATTTCCGACCGTCCAGAAGTGATACAATTTTTTCACAAATGGCACTGATAGTTATTATAGATATTCAAATTCGATATGAAATTTCCTACACATTCATTACCAGAGAATTCAGAAATCCAGAGTCGACTCATAAACAACCTCGGAATTTCATTGTAGATCGATACTTCAGGTCTCGAATATTTCAGGATACAGCACAATAAGCTGATCGATCGAATGATCAAATTGATGAGCTACTCAATCTCAGCAAACTAGAGCTGAAGCATATCACTTGCATATCATCCCATGCGTGTTCAATCAAACTTCACAAGCAGGAGGAAATTGATACATTCGCTCCTTATTCGATGTATATATAGCTATTATCTTTCAATTTTGGAAATATCAACATGGAATATTGATATGCTAATAATTCCACCACTTTATCAAAGACGAATGATCTCTATAGAATTTGTTTGCAAGGATCAACTTGATTAAAGTGAAAATGGAACTATACTGGCGCTTATTCAACTCTGAAATCCTATGAAAGTTATACAACTTCGTATAACAGCTGATAGAAATCACTCTCGGAGTAAAAGCTATGAAACTTTAGTGCATTTGCCATTTGCATGGCCATCACATAACAGTTAAGAAACTCTCTCCGTGGACAGTGTAATTTTCACTACTCACCTTGAAAATACTATAATACAGGAACACCATTATGATACAGGGGATATAAAACGACGATAGACTCGAGTAGATGAGGAAATCGCTGTTGTAGAAGAGACAGGCATCGGCCACCCTGTCAGGGGTGTTGTTCAGTCCTAGCACGATCGGCGACCCTATCGCCGCCGATATCACCCAGACCAGAGCTATTGTCAGCCACACTCTCCTCGTGTTTTTGTGCTTGGCGTATTTGATTGGTTGAGTAACAGCTATGTACCTGAAAAAAATATTTCACGAATCAAAATAAACATTTTTCTACAAAGGTCAAAAAACGACAAGGTTCGCGCATTGATAACAAATTGCGAAGCGACACTTTTTTTCAGTTTCCTACGTTACCATAATACCTTGCACAAAACAATGCGCGAAGTAGGTACTTCGCGCACTGTTTTACACAATATCGTTGCAAATAAATGATAGATTGTAAAAACTTGAAAATGAGTGTTTCAGAGACGTACAAGTGAGCTCTTAACTATCATACAGGTTTATTCCTGAATTTATTTTTTCCCAAACGGTTCATCCCAACTTCAAAATTGGAACGCCGTTGGATACAGAACTTAACGGGCTTTCAAAAGATGTGCCACTCCACCAATATTCCCAATTCAAATTTTAGGGGTGGTTCACACCACAGCTCGACTGATGCAGTGACGGTAGTGCATGTAGGAGAAAAAAATTTCCCAAACACATTCCACCTTTGCATCTCACTTTAATGCTTATCTGGATTCGGCCATATTTTTGTCTGAAGCAATACGACCCAAAAACAAATAAAAAAATCAGTGTTCCATCAAGAGTTCATCACTAGAATCTCTTCTAGAGGAAACTGTTACCATCATGGATTTTCCTAATGATGCAGCATTCTACGAGAATGGAATTGAATATAGTAACTAGAAAATTTTATGTTCTAATTATTGACACTGAAGATCGAGAGAGTCAGAATGCATCGTTTATTAACAATTTTCTCCCAAATGAAATTATGTCTCTCAGAATTATTATTCTCATCATGTTCATAAAGTGTGCTGAATAAGCGTTCGTAATGAATGCAAATTAGAGAACGAACTTTTTGCAGGTACACAAATTTGTTTTCGCTTCACTGATGATTCTTCAATTCACAACCTTGATGAAAACTCAATGCGTGATTAGATCATGTAACTGAATGGATTTCAAATAATTTCGCGAGGACACCCACTGATATTCGACTAACAATATTAATTATAATATAATGAATAATTTCGAAGAGATTGCAATACTTTGTCGGGGATGAGTTGACAGTTTTGACAATATTTGGATTGTATTAGGTATCACGATAAACATGGGTTGTGAGATGGATTTTATGCCCACAGTGAAGAAAGTGGAGCCGTGATGATAATTAGGTGAGTTTACCGTGAAACAAGGCTACTTTAGCACACGGGGTATCTTTTTCAGCTAGTGTACGCCATTGCTTTCAGAAAGCTGCTTCCTCATAGCTAGATATAGATATAGCTTTCCATTGGGCATGAACTGGTGCATTCAGTGTGTATCTATCCTTTCTGACGTGTAGCAGAAAAAGAAATGTATACTGAGTGCGCACTAGTTCTACCAATGGAATCAATCAAATTTCAATAATATTCTGTCAGTCGCGGAGAGTTGTTGGAATGGGTCCGTACAGTCAGATGCAAATGAAATGTCGCACATGGGCGGTGATAGCATTTCTAATCACTCCTGCAATAAGAGCGCTAACACCATCCAACCGCGACATGTTCTTTGCAATTGACTGTACAGTCGTCCTCAGAGATTATGTCGCGGTAGGATGGTGTCAGCGCTCTCATTGCAGGAGTTATTATAAGAACGCTATCATCGTCCATGTGAGACATGTTTTCTGAAAATGACTGTACACTCTGCTACGCAAACTATGGTGCGTTGTTACACACGTTTGAATAGCTCAAGGCCCTATGAAATTATACGAAACAACAACACTGTTTGAGTGTAAATGTAACCCAAGTCATGGGGGCTACTTTGGCACACAATCATTTTTTTTCTCAAAAATGGATTCATCGTAAAAAACCTTGTAACGGCCTTCATTACTTTGGCCCTTACTTTGGCGCTTGTTCGGACAGAAACTACTCTGATATTTGACGATGGGGGAGGAGGAGGGTCTCGGGCGCCAGATTGTTCATGGGTTAGTTTGCTCCACCTGCTGTGCACGAAATATTTTTGTACAGCGGCCCAAAGTACCAACAGTGGAGACAGGTACAGGAGGTATACCTACCTCGGTACCTACAGTATGAACCAGGGGTCAATGTTATTGAATCGACCTGGAATCAATAAGGAGCCAAAGGAGTGTAGGCTTTAATTACAATCCCTGGGTTTAGCCTGGAATACTGATTACTATTTTCATTCTGGATGATTACAGGAATCAAAGCAGATGTCTTTCGATCCTCTGGTATTTTTAGGTTGGGCCTGGAAAATTATTTATTCAAACTATTTCATAACGTCTACCTGGAGAATCGGAAACACAGTTCCAAACGAATCAAACAGATTCAATCCATATTTATCTTCCCTTTTCTTTCGCTCCAAAGAATTTCACATTTTGTGGTAATTTTTCAGGTTATGATATAACCCAGGTATCTACTGGCCTGAAAGCTCTCGGACACCCGTTATATGAAACTATACAATGAGTGGAGGAAACTCCATTTTACTTGAAGAAGCTATTGTGTCAGCAAAATATATCGAGGTCAATCTCAATTGAAACAAGGAAACTTTATATCATGGTGATTTAAGTGATTCACATTGGGAAGAGAACTGATGATTTACTTCGAACCTGCATTCCTTGAAACTTTTGTACAGAATTCCGTGGACGTTGATATATCAGTTATTGCTATATCTCAAGGGTTTATCATTCGTCAGTACGTATTGTTTTGAAATTGTTGTTCTGAAATTGTTATTATCCATCATTTTCATCCATATTCAAGAATCTGTTACTCAGCTCATTCAATAATTATGTCTTATGCTGCACCTTTTGCTGTTTTCAGTATCTCCATTTATCAATATCCCGAATGTTAATTTCAAATCAATCATCCATGCGAACTCACATCATTCCAATCAATTAGGTTACGTAATTTTTAGGGTTTCCAATATCTCTATCGTGATGATTCAATTATATATTCTGAACTGAAAATTGTGATCGTTATATGATCAAGTAGAATTCAGAACGCTCATCCATAGGTGTATACATTTTACTTCACATTCGAGCATAATAGTGCAAATTGTCGTTAAATTTCAACGAAATTCGTACTCTGATGGACAGTTAATGGAGCGAGAAGAACATGCATCAACTCTCAATTCAGTTCCTCTGTTCCGACATTCATTATACAAAGAACACATCAATCATCTAGAATCAGCACAGGCTACATTGTCCAAAGAGCAAAATATCCCTGATTTCTGGTATTGCAATTATTAATGCTATTTGGAGTGATATTATTTTCAGAATTTGGCCACGCGAAATGCGTCATGAAGTTCATGAGGTCAACGTTTCGCGCGGATCATTCTTTCGTGATCAATCCACGTTAATTACGCATGTAACATTTCCTTATGATAGATCCACGCTATATTTCGAACGAAGAACTCCCTTGTGATCAATCCATGGTAGTTTTGCATCGAGGATTAATCCAACCATTATCATATTATTTTTTGTCTGGACATGAATTGATTATGACGGTATGAACAGCAGGAAGTTGATTTCTGAGGTATAAAGTCTGACGGAAATAGAAAAAACGCCCCAAGTCATAGCTCTGCTATATTTATCATCAGATTTTGATGTTTTAATCATTTCAACTGTAACGACAGCGACTGTCAGCATTTAGAGAAGTTACCGTTTCGCACGATTTTTCGTTCTGAAAGTTGTACTTTTCCGTACGAATTTACTTCTCCACACGATATTATCGGGGGTTATACCGCGAGAGCTCAGATTTATATCCAGAAATTTCATGTGGTTGTTTTCGAATTTTTCATTTTGTTGGCAACATCACGAGAGCTGTTCTGGAAAAATCACGAGAGCGTACATTGTTTTTTGTTCTTTATTATCTTTACCATTTCGTTTCTCCACATTGAAGCCCTAGTTCATCAATATTCCTGCCACATTTTCCACTGACTGTTCGGTTCCCAAGTTTTGTTGTTTGCAAAATTCTGTAAATTAGTTCCAAAAGGAGGAATTACTTATTTTTCTTATCTGGAGTTGATTTTTCTATCTCTCCTACTATTTCTGCCTCGCAACTATTTTCAAATCTTACTTACTGAGATATATCATTTGCTGTTTAATTCTGTTCTCAAAATTTACATTCATTGATAAACTGATGATTCGACGCGCAACACTTGATAAAGGAACAGTGAATGCTAGCGTGGCTAATGTAACGTGATTTATGTTATTTTTTTAGCCACTTGCATTTCTGTTCCTTCCTATTTCAGTGGAATTGTGCTGAAAAGTTACCTTTCCGCAAGATTTTTGTATTGTTGAAAATGAGGATATTCAGGACTAACTAAATGATCCATCTAACTATTCTGTCTTATGTGTCATTTTGTAGCATTATTATGAGATTTTGTTTATTAAGAACCTTTATTTTTTCGTGCAAAATAAGTTGAAAAAAGTTGATGCTTCGCTAACGAAAAACGGATTTTTCATTACTAGAGATGTTTTCGAATCCATGGATTCATTACCAGATAGTTCTCCACGCGATATTATATGAGAATGCTCCACGCAAAGTTAGCGTTGATTTTTCATAAAAGAATGCTTCATGCGAAATTTAGCGTGAGCCAGAGCTGTCTCAAAGCATTGTGCTAAGTGCTCATTAAAGCACTTGTGTGCTCGTTAAAGCACTTCTGTGCTCGTAAGCACTGTGCTCCCGAGCATTTTTCCGACATAAAAACTACGGAAAAACATGTCTAACTTTCAATCTGAGCCAAGCGTTAGGAATTTTCTCCCGTATATAGTTTTCATGGCATCGCAACGTCGGATGATGAGTTCGGCTACATGGCGGCATTGAAAACTGAAGCTCAAAGTAGGCGGTCGAGTCAACAAAAAAAAAACATGTCAAAAGTTTTTTAAGTGTTCCATCCTTTTCAAAAGTGCTTGGTCAGTGCTTGATGCTATGTGAAGGTGCCTAGGAATCGCGAGTATATATCATCAATAAAAGTGCTTAGTGCTTGAGATTCCGGAGCAGTTTTCAAAAGTGCTCAGTGCTCGAAGCA